GAGAGAGAGAGAGAGAGAGAGAGAGAGAGAGAGACGACAAGGACGACGACGGCAACGGCGGCACACGCGGCATAGGAGACACTCCGTCCTCGGCGCGGGACACGTGGCGCGTCGCTCACGGGCGTCGGTACATACGGAAGTGCCGTACGTAGGCTGCGTACGTATGGAATTGTGGTCATCCGTACGGCCCACACGCCTAAGGTCCAGGGCGCGTTCAGGGCGGCAGGGGGGGGTGGGGCGCGGTTCGGGCCTTGTCCACGTTCGGGCCACTTGTAGGGTGTGAACGATGGCACCCAGAAAAGGGAGGGGAGAGCAGCGGTTTGTCCCAGTAAGTAAGGACAAACAGAGGCAGGCGGAGCTCAAGTTCTGCGGATTCAAGTGGATAATGAAGGGGCAAACACTGCCGGACTCCAGTGGGAATTTTCTCATGGAGTGCAAGTTGTGCGGCCGGGGTTTTCAGGGCAGTCAATCGAAGGCCGCACAACACTTCACAATAAAGAACAACTGCGCTAAAGTCACCGAGGAGCAGCTCGTGGAGATCTGGAACAAGACAAACTACCCGTTCGATCAGAGCCACCATCGTAAGATCATCGACTTCCTGAGGTCTCGTGGGTTTCGAGACAATAGAAATACTTCAGGGAGGGAGCAGGCGGGGGAGGAGTTTGACGACAGCGAGCAGGAGAGGAGGGCGGCCGAGGGTGGAGGTGATGAGAGTGACAGTGATTCACAGGACATGGACGTGAGGCGAGAGGCGGAGCGCGCCAGGGGAAAGATGAGGGTGAGAAGGCCGTTGTCGAGGACATCACCCCGGACGAGCACGACGACGATCACGATGACGACGACGATCAGGGTCCAGACCTTGGGGCGTCTCTTGATGCGGGTCTGATGGCCGCTGGCCGTCGAGGCCAAGAGGGGGCTGCTCAAGCGATGAAAGACACTGTGCAGTCGAGGAAGAGAAAGAGGAAGGCAACGACACCAGCTCCTCCTCTGCTGAAGAAGGGCAAAGTCCTTCGACAGACTTCCATGACAGAGACCTTCGATCAGGCGTGGCAACGTGATTTTACGAACGAGTTCCTGCAGTGGTGGTACGTGAGCGGGATTCCATTCGAGGCGGCGAGGAGGCCGGAGTACCAGCGAGTGAGGAAGCGGTTGCTCGAGTGTCCGCCGTATACACATCCTGCGTTGCCCACGCACCATCTCATTTTCGGCGACGGTATTCCACAGCAGCAGCGAGTTGTGGCGGAGATGGTGGCAGCCGTCCACAAGGGCATTGCGGCGACGGGAGCGACCATCCTCACGGATGGTCGCAAGTCCATCACTAGCGACCAGATCGTCAACTTCCTTGTCGCTGGGCCCACGGGAGCCTACCTTTTCAGGACTGTGCAGTGCGACGGTGCTGTCCAGGAGACAACCGAGGTGGTGGTGGAGCGATGGAAGGACGTGTTCGACAACTTCGGTATCGAAAACGTCAACGCCATTTGCACGGATTCTGCGTCCGCGTATGTGACTGCATCCAAGCTCCTGGCGAAGGAGGAGGTCAAGTACAGTCGCATTACTTGGCTTCCGTGTGCGGTGCATGTCTGCAACTTGTTGTTGTCAGACATTGCGAAGGACGGCACCCCCGGGAAGCTTGGGAAGAGGGAGGACACCATCATCAGGGCTCGAACAGTCGTGCGGTTCATCAGAGAGCACGGGGCGGCTCTCGGCCTTTATCGACAGTTCCCTGCCGCCTACCTCTCTTCCGCCTCCGCTGTTGCGGCCAGTTCCAGCGCTGCGCCACGCTCGTCTCAGCGGCGAGGCAGAGAGCTTGTGTACCCCGCACAGACAAGGTTTGCTACCCACTACTTGATGTTGGAGAGGTTGTTGGATCGTCGCCGAGCATTGGAGGCGTCGATGATGAGCGACGACTGGTTGCGGACTGCATGGAGGAGGTCCATTTTCTTGCAGGCTAGGTGGGTGCGTCATCAGGTGCGGTACGCGCCATTTGAGGAGCACGTGGAGGACATCGTGGAGCTCATGACGCCTGTGATGCAGCTGTTACGCCGTCTGGACAGAGGGGGGCATGTGATGACTCGCATGTGGTCGTGGGCACTTGCCATGATCGATAGGGTGGCGAGCGCGAGACTGAACAGGACGTTGAGGGAGGAGCTCAACATCGTTGTTCAGGCTTGTCAGGCGTGGGTCGATCATATGTTGGAGCCCGCACATTGCATCGCCCACCTCCTCAACCCTCGCCATAGGAGCATTACGTATTTTGGAGCGGCGAGGCGCAGTGAGCACTACAAGACACTCGTGGAGGAGTCACTTCAATACCTTAGCAAGAAGACTGGGGGAGATAAGGACTTGTATCAGACGCTGAGCACGCAGTTGGCTGAGTTTCTTAGCCGGGAGGGCGATTGGACGTACGGAGGGGTTAAGGGTGACAGGGATGCGGCCTCCTGCAGAGGGGAGAAGGAGACGTCGCAGGTGGGGTAGTTGTGGGTGCAGCATGGGGATGGGGTCCCTCTCCTTCAGACTTACGCCATTCGCCTGACACACACATGGACGTGCGCCTCTCCAGCGGAGAGGAACTGGGCCATCCATGAGAGTGTTCAGGTGAAGAAGCGTAACTAGCTTGGTTTTATCAAGCTGGCTCGTTTGGTGGAGATATCCACCAACTTGAGATTGAGTCGTTGTAAGGGGAGGGGTTCAACGTTCTGCCATGGGAGGACGCTGAGGAGGAGACAGAGGACAACATTCCTCCGCCTCGTGACGAGGGTGTTCGGCCAGCTGATCGAGTCACGGAGGCGCAGCGCGAGCGGCATGTGCAGCGCGGGCGGAAGGATCGCCTTTCCAGGGCTCCGCACAGCGTCGAGACATATTTCGGTCGTCGCGCCACGGTGCTCATGCCAATTGAGTTGGACGCTGTGTATGATCCCGAGACGGATCCTATGGCTCAGGACCCGATGGAGGCGGAGCCGTGGTCCGATCCAGACGACCTGGCAGTGGAGTCTGAGCCCGGAGATTCTGATGATGGTGGCGACGATGATCCTAGCGCCAAGATGTTGCGTCCTCGGATGCGTGCTTCCACTGCATCCGCTGCACAGCATCCTCCTCCCCCTCCACCCCCACCCCCGAGTGCGCGTACTTCCACTGCATCCGCTGCGCAGCATCCTCCTCCCCCAACACCCCCGCCCCCGAGTGCGCGTCCTTCCACTGCAGCCGCTGCGCAGGATCCCCCTCCACCTCCGCCTCCGCCTTCGAGTGGTCGTGCTCCCACTGGAGCCGCTGCGCAGCATCCCCCTCCACCTCCGCCTCCGCCTTCGAGTGGTTGTGCTCCCACTGGAGCCGCTGCGCAGCATCCCCCTCTACCTACAGATTGTCCAAGACATGGCGAGCAGGGGACTCGCGACATTGTTGACGAGCGAGACGACGACGACGACGATGATAGAGAGGGGTACGAGGGCAGTAGTGAGGACGAGGATGATCCCGCGTATTCCCCGAGACGCGGACGTGGTGACGACGACGACGTCGACGACGAGGGCGGCGATGGTACACAGGCTGCAGGTGGTTTGCGGAGGTCGGGTCGACATCGTGCCAACCGATGCAGTAGTGCAGGCAGGGGGGACAATGGTGCAGGCAGGGGTGTGGGGGGCGCAGGACACACAGGGGGGGCAGGCCGTGGTGGCGGAGGACGGGCGAGGCGAGAGTCTGCATCCTCCACTCGTACTGTGCACTGGGTTGATGAGGGTGCCGCGACAGGAGAGGTTGGCGCCGGGTCGGCTGAGTTTGCTGCTGCGTCGGCAGAGGCCGCTGCAAAGGCCGCTGCAGAGGTCGCTGGAGAGTTCGCAGCGGCGTCTGAGGAGGTCGCAGGGGGCTTTGCAGAGGTTGTTGGCGAGGCTGCGCAGGTTGGGAGGGCTTCTGCGCACTTCGGTGTCAGTTTCAGTGGTATTCTTGATGTTTCGTTGGGGCCTCCTCCGACACCGGCAGGCGAGGGTGGCAGTGGTGACGCAGCGGCTACGCCCGTCAGTCAGATACTCCGGGATGTACCTTCATGCAGTATGGGTGACATCAGTAGCAGCATGTTGCAGGAGGCAGCAGCGGGGACACAGTGTTCGTCGGGGCAGGAGGAGTGTTCAGCAGGGGACGGTGGGGATTGTCGACTTGAGCAGGAGCGAGCGCCAGAGTCGGAGCAGGACAGGATCGATCGCGCAATGAGGGAGAGGGTGCATGACTTGGCTAGCCGTTGCGAGCTGACACAGAGTATTGCATCGAGGGCACGGGCAGAGCGGATGCGCGAGACGGACGGTAGTGAGGGTCATCATGTGACGGACGATGCAGTGCTTGAGTGTGGAGGCGCGGGCGCCGGGGATGCAAGCGAGAGACCCGCGTCGACGGTTCAGAGTGTTTGTATATTGCCTATCGGTGGGAGCGGCAGCTACGAAAGGACCCATTGCAGGCAGATCGGCGCGGACGGATGGACGAGGCGTCGAGGAGGTTCATGGCAGAGCGCCTTGCTTACGTGCCCTGCAACCCGTCACTGCCATCGTCCACCACTGGTGCCACTACCTCCGTACATGCTAAGGGTCCAGTCACGGTGTGAGGAAACCCGGGGAGGTGGACGCATGCTGCTCGCTGAAGCCAAGGGCAACAACGTCTGTCACCCGCTGCGCCCGCTTTGGAGGTCCTCAGCGATCGACAGGGAGTGGAATTCAAACTTGCCTATCAAATTCCCACTCGGAGACTAAGCTCTGAGATCTTTTGCAATCGGATCGATAATGATGATAATAATAAAAAATAATAATAATAAAGTAATAATAACAATAATAATTATACTCCCTCCTATTCCCGTGTCTCTGCTCTGCAAACACTAGAAGTGGTTCGAGGACACTATGCCATCCGATTCAAGCTGTAGAGTAGAAACCGCTTTCGCTATTGAGCCGCATTGAAGCGACCAAATAGTAAGGCCTCATCAGTTGTTCGAAGATCCCGACGGTCAATACGTCTACCTTGATGTAACCCTACTGATGAACAGCTAATGCCTGATCTGTCAATAATCAGCCAGTGCCTGTTCTGTTCATGAGCAGTCAGTGCCTCATCGGCCAATGAGCGGCACATGACTGGTCGATTATTGAGGAATGAGTGTTTGAACCGCTGATGAGCAGCAAATGCTTGATCAGCCAATCAGCAGCCCGTGCTTGATCTGTCAACGAGGAATGACTGTTTGACCTGCCGATGAGCAGCCAAAGCCTGATTCTGCCAATAAGCAGCCAGTGCTTGATCTGCCAATGAGCACTAGGAAGCTGATATGGCTATCAACAGCATCAAAGTCACCTAAACTCTTGCGCTTGTGTCCGTCCAAACGTCTTCACATTCCTGATGGATAATCATGACCAGCTGTTTTTCGCTGCTGGCTCACTCGAGAGTTTGGTTCCATAGATCTTCTTTTCTCGGTGGTCTTCCCA